AGAAAAAGAAAACACATAATAGCCTTAAAGCAGATCAAATTTAAAAGTGTACTTGTTTTTCTTCCGCGATAGCGGAAATATGGGCGCTTGCGAAGGTAATTCAATCGCAATGACGCTATAAATTTTTTTTATTTTAAAAAACCTTAGAAGTCTCTGTTCGCAAATTGTTGACTAAAGCTGTAAGATTTAATTACCAGCGCTATAAGAACATCGTCTAATAAAGAAATCGGCGTTCGAAACTTATTTGTTCTTAAAGCACTAGTTTGAGATTATCTTCGCTCCTCATCACATCCCTCTACTCTGGTCCAGCAGCTCTGTCACAATCCAACTTCATACTCTTTTTAACCCTCAATAAAAGATAGTGAAAAAGTGTTAAAAGCATTTGCACTACTCAATCTGCTACTTTTTAAAATGGAGATTTCTACAACTATCCGCACGGACGAGTAAAACGTAGAGCTGCGGAGGGCTCTTATCCTCTAATGCTATGAGGCAGCTTTGCCCAGCGTTAAACCTGAGCGCTGACTTTGTTTATACGACAAAGTTTTGAAAGTTTTAATTTAGCCAAAGGAATAACGTTTTTAGCTACTTTCTGATATCACCAATTCGGCGCATTAAAAGCAAAAACATCTCATGTCTACATTCCCTCCAATAAATTAAGTAGCAAACTTTCTTGCTTTGCAAGACTTCTATGAAAATTAATGCAGTTGTGCGACTATCTCATAACTGTTACTAAAATTCTCTGATTATGGTGCGAATCTTCCCTTTCGCAAGAGAGCTTTTGTAAAGATTTCGCTCGGACTTCCTCCCAATTTACTAAACTATTCGTAAATTCAATTTATGAATAGGAAGCTCTTAGAATGCTCTCTAAATCATTGCAATTCATGTTGTTAAAAACCAAAGGTTTTCTTAAGTTTTTCTATCAAACTCGTCCTATATGATTCGCCTTTAAGCAGGTAACCTTGTTGATTCTCTAGTTGCCATCTAGTTCCGGTACAGCTGGTTGGTGAAAGCCCGAATTGGAGTAGTAGGGCGAGTTTTGCAGGTCAATTTATTTGGTTTCTGCAGAAACAATGTGAAATTTGTGTTTTTTACAGTGCTGCAACGATCATGCAAACGTGGATCTAGTCCGTTTGCGAAACATGCCACACAATCTTAAGAC